CCCCCCCCCCCGTCCGGCACTAGTGGGAGCCCCACGCACTCTGGGTGCCCCCCCCTTGTGCGCGTTCCACTCAAAGGCAAGGGTCTAAACTGTCTGCCGTTTATTTTGCTGGTTTCCCAGCGTCCCTAGAAAGTGAGATCAGCCGCGCTCCGCTCCGTAGATAATTCAACACCCCTCCCTCCGTCTGCATTTGTGATGCAATAGACCTTCTGGTGTGACGAGTGGAGGTTTAATAGCACAGGACTGGCTGAACTTCTGTAAACCCGGATTCCCGGCCCGGCAACGGGCCACGGATGGACCAGAGAGTCCCAGTGGAGGGCTGGCGGCTGGGCTCCCTGCAACTGGGCTGCCAGGCACAACCCAGCGGGGCTGTCCAGAGCGGCCAAGAGCCCAACGAATAGGGAGCTGGGCTGGGGCATAGCAGGGAAAGGGGGCGGAGAAAGGGACTGGTGGCATGGGGGGTGGCGGCCAGGAGGGCAGCGATCAGTCCAGGGCTGGGGGGAGACCAGCGGTGGAGGGGGCAGATATGACCTCTCCGGGTCCAGCAAAATCCCTTATCTGGATCAGTCAGGGTGCCGGATCAGGGAGGTCCAACCTGTAATAACTATGAAACAAAAATAAATTTAGGGGTTTTTTAAAATCTGATTTGATTAATTCAAGTATCTGTATAACTAGTGTTTATTTGAAACGATTGTGTTTATTGCATTCATACCACAAACACAGATTTGTTCAGCGCAGACTTGCTCAAGGCTTTGTAACTGAGAACATGGATTTAGTGATCAGACAGCAGCTGTCTGCAGCTCAGGACCACCAAGGTAAATGGTTGCATAATGTATAGAAAAGTTACTCGGTATCTTTTTAAATAAAAGAGGGCTAGCAAAGTTCTTTCACTACAGTGAAAAACAACAAATGGTCTGGTAGCACTTTATAGACTAACAAAACATATACAGGCAGTCCCCGGGTTACATGGATCCGACTTACATCAGATCCCTACTTACAAACGAGGTGAGGCAACCCCGCACTAGCTGCTTCCCCCCAGCAGACCAGGGAGACGCAAAGCTAGCACCCCTCCCAGCAGACCAGGGAGACGTGGAGCGGCTTTTCTCAGCAGACACCTCAGCTTGAGAATAAAGGACTAAGGGAAGTGAGGTGTGGGAGAATAAAACTGAGCTCTGGAGAAATGTTTGGCTAGAGTTTCCCCTACAATATGTACCAGTTCCGACTTACATACAAATTCAACTTAAGAACAAACCTACAGTCCCTATCTTGTACGTAACCCGGGGACTGCCTGTAGGTGGTATCATGAGCTTTCATTTACCAGTTCTTGGTTTTATATATACAAAATGGTAGAGAAAGTATTTTTCTCTGAATGCTTTGAATGTTTTTGTTAAAAGGACATAAAAAGAAGTAAATACAATAATACAGCACTCTTTTTAGTTACATTATTTAGTTCAAAACAATTTATTTAAAATAACTGCTTTAAGAACCAGATCTAAAGTGCAATGAAGTTAATAGGCAGATTCTCATTAACTTCAAGGAGTTACTGAACAGGTCTTAAATGTCCCTTGTTTTCTTGTTTTCTTGTTTTGTTTTGTTTTTAATTTAAAACTGCAAGAGATTCATTAAAACTCCTATCCGGCAGGTGCTTAGCTTTACACAATTCCTTTGATAACCTTTCCATGAAAATACACAATTCTTTACTTTGAGGAAAAATAAGTAGTCTTGCAGTTGAGTTGATCACTTGAAATAATACTGTTAAGTGTCTGTGCACTCTAGCATAAAACAAAGAATACTATTTGTCACCTTTCATATGCTATTTTTATTAATAGATACTCAAGCTTTGAAGAATGCTTACAAGTTGATCAAATCAGACAATCAAGGGAAATCTGCACTTGATTCATCAGAGAGCTTTAGCTCTGATTTATATGTCTTGTGTGCAGAACAAGCATTACAGGTAATTACATTTTCTAAGTTGGCTAATTATCTGTAATAGATAAAAACAACTGTCTAGATTATACTATAACAGTGCTTCAGCAAATTAATATTTAATGATATTGTCAGGTCTCCTGGAAATACAGATTCTGAACTTTGTTATGCTTCAATTTTCTCACTTTACAGAACAATTGCTTAGATATGTTGTTTGGCTTATGCCCAATGTTCTTCCCAAAGTCAGCAGTTTTGAAAACTTCATCAATCTGCAAGTTGTACTTTCTGAAGCCTCTGATTAGCATAAGAGTAAGAGAAGTAGACCATTGAGAGAGATATTAGTAGTTTTGTGATCATTGTTTCTTTTTGTTCTGAGGTTGCTAGTGTGAGCTGTTTGGACAAGATGGACGAGGAATTGCTGATGTATTGTTGTTATCATGCAGAAACTTAGAAAACATTCTAATTATGAGACGGTTGCTGCTGTCTGAGTGTCATATAAAATAGGATTCAGGTTTTTATAACTTTGAAATATTTTTAGACATGATTCTGCATTGAAAGGTGACATATGAGGTTCCAAAGCACCCTTGGCCCTGCTCTCTGACTGGAGTGCTGGGAGAGGAGCTGGAGCAGAGCAAACTCCCCAATCTACTCCCTGATTAGTACCCAGCAGATTAGGCTAAGCCTCTGCACCCTGACCCTACTCCCTGGTGTGAGTGCTAGGTGGGCAGGCAGGATGAGCCCTCAACCCTGTTCCCCGGCTGGAGCAGTGTGGATGGCATAACGACACTTTTAGTATGTAGTTTATAAGTAAAAGGTTTTTATTTCTTTTAACCAGCTGCCATCCATATACATTGTACCTGATATTTGGAAACTGATGAGCATTATTTAGGTGTCATGCATCATTTCCAGAAAAAAAGATTTTGTAGGCTAAATTCTGCCCCTGGTTATGTTTATACAATTCAGAATTGACCTTTCAATTAACAGTTGTGTTAATAATGTGCAATACAGTGTTAAATATAAAAAACATAAATATTTTTGTACTATAGTAAATTACTTTGTGACTCTGAATAAACCCAGAAACCAGATCTGTGGTGTAAGAAATTGCCTTTTTCCATAGTGGTGTTTTTGGTGGTGGGGGGGGGAGGGGTGGAGGAGGATTGGTTAAAAATCTTGATGTATTGAAATTGCTTCTGCTGGCCTTACTTTCCATTTGTAAATGGACTATGAATTTACATACTGCTATCTCACTAAACACACACTTTAAAAAGTTGACCATTCTTGACCCATTATTTATTGCATTGTTCACTTAAAAAAAATTAAATAATATTTTGCTCTAGTTGGGATATCAGGAAATTAGCAGTGACTGTCTACAGATGTATTTTAAAGGAAGACATCCAGTAAACCAGTTTATGGGTAGAGCATACCTGTGCCAAGGCCAGTTGTACACCCCACTCTCCACAGATAATTTGGTGAGAAAATATTGTGGATTTTAACATTATGGTAACATCTAGTTTTAAGAATGTTCATAGTTTAATGTTAAATTCTCTCTCTCTCTCTCTCTCTCTCTCTATGCAAGGGTGAGAAGGAGTGCGGGCTGAAATTTGGAGATTTTGGTTCACCAGAAATTTTGGACTTTCATATTTTTTTGTTCCAAATTAGAACAAAAGTGTATTTACCAAAAGTTCTCTGCAAACTGGAAATAACCCAAACATTTTGGTTTAGTAACACTAAAACAGTGTTCGCAAACACATATTTGAAACTGACATTCTTGCAATTTACTGAATAGCAGCTATGAAACTGACAAAAATGTCAGTTTCTCTGAGTTGGAACTCTCAGGGTTGCTTGTCCCCCCAGTGGGAGCTCTCAGGGCTATATAGGCTTCCAGGGCCTGTACCATGGAGCTGGAAATCATCATAGGCTCCAGCCAGAGTTCCCAGGACTGCTGCCATAGAGTGAGACCCTGGCATCCCCTGGAGTGCTCGCTCCTGCTGAGACTCTGGATTTTGGCAAACCTCTTGATCCAAAGAGGGAAGCCCAACAACCCTCAGCATTCTGGCTCCAGCTGGGGTTCTAGAGAATGGCATGATCCCTGCCATGGAGCAGGAAGCCTAGCAGTCTTGAGAGTACTGACTCCGTTTGGGTTCCCAAAGATTGCTGCTGCAAAGCAGGGACCTTGCTAGCCCCCAAAGCCCTGGCTCTAGCCAAGGCTGTCAAAGTTGGCATTTTTCCTACTAAACATGGGAACTGTGGAAAACTGGCACGTATCCCTGTGTTTCAGCTGTAGTTTTGACAAATCTATAAGAGATTTGCTGAAGCATTTTGATTCAGTTAATTATCATTTTCAGATGAAACTTTTTCAGAATATTTTTTACCATCCATAATAGTAACTTGTGTGTGACAACTTTGGGGACACTGAATGGACGCTATTACCTGGCTGCATACAGAACCCCTCATCCTCAGCCCTACGCCAGAGCAATAATTTGAATGAAGAATAATAAAAAGTGAATAAAAATCCAGAGCAACACCAGGAAAATCTTCTAGTTACAATATATTTCAGTAATAATCATGCAGTAAAATTTATAATTTTACACAGTGTTGTTATGCATATCTCAATAGAATGTTAATATTCAGCAGATTATGAGTTTACCAAAGATACCTAACAAGGCATATTTTGTGTAACATTTAAAAGTGGTGAACATGGTATACAGGCTGTCGTAGGCTTTGGAAATGACAGCCATTTTAGTTTAAATTTTCCAAACCTCTGTCAGCAAAAAATTCAGCTTAAATCATTAAGTTTTGGCAATGTTATAAGTAGCTGATGTAGAGTCTTTATTAATAGAAAGAATTAAATAAATTTAATATTAAATGGTTCTGGTAGCCCCATCTGTAGTGCTAATAATTTCAAAATAGACTGAAAATGGTTGGTAATATTGCACTGATTAATAAAGGCCTGTGTATGACAAGCTTTAACAATTCTTTGTTATTTTTTAGGAAAATTTTGAGAAGTTTGTAATGTACCTAATGAAAGCATTAGACTTTGCAATACACGATCCAAGGTAAAATTATCTGATAGGGATTACAGTTCCAAATTTCAACACTTTTACTGATCTAGGTTTTTTAAGATAATTGCTTCTCATAATTTCATTTTTGTGGGGCGTTGGGTAATGCAGATCCTTTTGTGGCGCATATCTCTGTCTCATTTCTACTTCTTTTCTGTAACAAAAATAGTGCTTCACCATATGAAAAATAATAGTAGGACAGTGTTAAGGACACAAGATGAATATAAACACATTTTAATGCGATGTATATGGCTGCTTATGTTGCTCCATTTTATAACTGCTGGTGGGAAATAGAGCACAATGTTAGCTCACATCGATATATTTTATATTCCTGAAGTGCCTACAGTGCTCAATCAAGATGGTAGGTGCTGTACAAACAATAGAAAGACCCAGTAGCTACTTCTGTTGTTTAAAATCTACAATACTTTTTAAAAAGTATGTGTTTATCTCAGGTTGTAAAATCCTTTTTCTTGTTTTTCAGATATTATTTTTTAATATATAATTCATCAGTCCTTTACTGGCAGATTGTGAGGCCATATCTTAAGCCTGGGTTCCGCTACCTTCTTATTCCCAGCCTATCTCAGATTGTAACAGCATTAAATCAAGCTGAAGAACAAGACAAGCAATGGCGAGCAGAACTCATGATGTAAGTCTGAGCTGTTATTTTAGGACCAGGGTCCTGTAGTCCTTTTGTGCACGTAGCTCCCATTTGAGTTTATTTTTGATCACTGGCATATTAAATATTATTATAAATATATTGTGAGTATGCTGCAACTTGTAAATCATAGAGCAGAATTTCATACTTTGTACATAGATCAGTAACTAGATTATATCAAGACAGTGAAAATTAGCAGTGAGAAGACTGCAGGATCAGACACATTCACTGTTCTTTAATAAAACCATTATTTTGAGTATGAAAGAAACTACAGTTTGATATTTGCATTGTGGTTAAAATTAGGGACATCAACTATCGGTTAATTGACTAATCAAGTAGTTGATGGAATTTGCATTGACTAGTTGATAAAGGGGGAGCGCTTCTGCGGTCTCTTACTACATTTAAAGTGCAGAGTTGCAGTGGGGATAGCTCCATGTGGCAGCGTGAGCTCTGTGGCTCTGCACTTTAAATATAGTAAGACCCCGCTGGGCTCTTACTACATTTAAAGTGCAGAGCTCCACCCGAATTAGTTCCCGGGGCGGTACAAGCTGGGACTGAACAGTCTCAGCTCGTGCCGTCCCTGGAACCTTACAGCTTTGCCTTCCCTGCTCCTCCTACCCATCTTGGAGATGGTGCACCATTTCCTCCCCCCACCCCCCCCCCCCCCCCTACCTCTTATCGGGTAGTTGACTACTTGACTATCCCTAGTTAATCATCCCTAGTTAAAACGGTAGTGATATCAATGTATTTGGCATGTCACAAGATTTGCAAAGTTATATTCCCTGTCTCTGCAACAGGTTTTTTTGTTTCATGTGGTCAAAATAAATAAAAATTCCTGTATGTAAGAGAGTTGTGGAATTACTCTTGGAGCGAAGCTCTGTTACTGTCAGTCTTTAGTCATTTCTGCCTGAGGCATCATATCTGTGATGGAAGAATGGTGCAGTCTGTGGCTATACAACTAAGAAGGCCCTGAAGTGCTATCTGGACAGTAGCCAGGGGGGCTCCCTTTCTCTCACATAAACATATGAAATGTCAAATGAATTTGTGAAAGGTTAATTTTCTTATTAACTTTTTCTCCTGTTTAATGTACATCAACATGAAATTTCATGCAATAAATGTGTTTAGTGAGTGACACTTGAATAATGTATACTAAATTCTCAATTTTAGAGTAAAAGGCACACAAATGAATACTCAGTCAGTTGTGGCATATGGGGTTTTTTTCCATCTATTTCATCAGTTATGCATCATTTGGTAATATGCTTTCTGAAATTCAATGTTTTTGAGACATCCTTCTGTATAAGCATTATTCTTCATTCTCAGACAGCACATTTCATCCCTGTAAAATATGTGAACTAATTTTGCCATTTATAATTCGTGCATACATTACTGTAGTATATATTAGAAAAAAATTCTAATCAAAGTAATCTGATTCCGTTTAAGATGTTATTTTTTTATTAGTGAGTTTTAGTGACATTTTCCTTCCATACTATCTTAAAGAAGCTTTCTTACTAATTTGAAACAAAGCCACAGGCCTCATATCCCAAAGAATAAAAGAAATAGGTCTCATTCTAATTTTCTAAAGCTAACTGTTGATGAGGATGCTTTGTTAACATGGCCTTTGGAATGAACATTAGCCATGCTGTCTTGGCTTCCACGATTTCTGTAGCAACCCTCTTCTCCAAAACAGGAGATCAAAAATAAGGGAAGGGAAAGAACTTCAGATACCATGTTTGATTTAATATTTCAGTTTTGATCCTTCCTGACAATAGAAGAGGAGTTTATTGTGGTATTCAACCATATCACTAGTTAATTTCAGGTAATTAACTATTGTCTGTGGATCTAGATTTTAAGTTATATAGCATTGGGAGAACTGAATAGTAATTTAGGCACCCTGAAAAGGTTCCTAGTGACATAGCTCATATTTAAACAAGTTGACTTTATTTCATATTTATATAACCTCTAGGTTTTTCCTGTATGTCTTATTCGTTCAGAAATTAGAGTAACGAATACAAGGTTAGAACGATTGATACTTATAATAAAAAAAAGTTCCATATAGTTTATTATAATCTCCTTTTTATAGCTGCAAATATATTAAGGACATTTAAAATGTCCATATTGCTTGTAGAGTAGGTTGATGCTTACTGGTTAACTGGATAACCAGTTATTATTTCACATCCCTAGTGCTTAGGAAGAAAGAGGGAGGAATTGGGAGGAACCACAGCTTCAGCCCCTCCTTAATATCCCAGCTAGCATAGCTGTGTCAGCATAGTAGCATGAGGATATATACCAGGCATGATATACTCACTCACTGGAGTAGTGAGGAGAAAGAAGAGATTGTGATTGAGTCATAAATCTGCCTGCCTCCCTCCTGGACCACACATCAAGCAATGAAACAACATATTGTCCCTACTCTGGGCTTGACTCGAAGCTATAATTGAGCTCTATATTAGAATAAAAACTCAAAAGGAGCAGCAGTTTAATCCAAATTCTCGAAACAAAGTTTTCTGATTTTCATCACAAACTTCACAATAGCATATATCTATCTTGAGAGAGGCTGTTTCTTTAAATTTAGTGTTTATTTTTTGGAAGTACAGTAAAGCTTGTCCTACTGTATTGCTGCTTTAGATCATGATAAATGGTGTTTGCAGGCTGGTGACAGGAAGAAATCAACATTGATTTATTGCTTTTTTAAATATAAAAACTAGAAAAAGTGTGAGAAAACAATGTATTTTTCTGTAGTATAATTTTCCATAGCCTTGTACTTTTTGACGTTAGCTAGCTGGAGTTCAATATTCTAACTGTTGTCCAGGTATTCTATTTTTTTTTACATTACAGATGAGGCAAATAGATCTTTATGTATAAATATATTTAACATGTACATATTTTTCAGCCTTTTAGCCTTACTCTTCTTGAAGTCAATTAAATTAATCATGATCTTAAAATTGTACATCTGTTTTGCTGGATCAGCATTTTAATGAGGTGTCGAAACATGACACTAGTTTAGTTGGCCCAGTAGCATGAAGAAGAATTAATAATTGAAATGCAGGAAATTGTAAATTCAGGGAGAAGGGTAACAAAAATTTAAATAAGATCATGGAGATATTTTAGATGGGATTTTTTGTTCTTGCTTAGGCAGAACTGAGAAATGGTTAAGTTACTTGGCTACAGGTCTCCACACACTTTATATTTACATTAGCTATGCTTTCATCATGCCTTTATTAGTTTGGCTCTTGGTAATATTGTGTAAAGGGTAATTCTGGTTTCCTGTTCTGTGATCCTGAAAGGACACAACTGAACTGTTATGTTCTACTCCATAAAGTGTGGAGGTTCACAACAGAGGTGTGAGCGATAAGCACAAAATAAGAAGCCTGCTTGCATAACTAAACCTGTATTTAAGTGTGGAGAACGTGAGGTCATTTTGGCTACTTTGAGAACCTTTCTTAAGAAGGAAACTAAAAGCTTTTTATCTCTGATGTCCCCTGGATACGTTGAATGAATAGATCTCTGAGCATTATCCAACAAGCCTACAAAATTATTTTTGTAAATATGTTTCAAAATAAGCCCCCTCCTTTGATTGTAATTGAGCTTATAAATATGAGCAGGAGATTGCAGGCTTTCCAGTCCCTCCTGGTAAAGAATATCAATGAGCCTCCAAAACTAGAGGTATCCCTTTTATTATAATTTTTCTTCTTACAGTTTTTGAGACCTGTTAGCTAATTTTGAAATCATTTAATACTTGCTACATTGATATTCCTTAAAACTAACATTTTAATTAAAAGAAAATGCAGTATTAAGTACCATTACTCACAGTATAAATAAACTTGTAGGGTTGCCACTTTTAGTTGGGCATGTTCCTGGAGGTTTCATTACATGATATAATCTCGAATAAAAGATTAACCTTTTATTCATGGAGACCCAAGGACAGTCCTGAAGGGTTGGTATTCCTATTTGGGAGTCCAATCCTATCATCAGGAAGAGAAAAAGAAATCTTAGAATACAGCCCACTGAAATGTTATACCACCTTGTTTCATTTGATTTCACAATTTCTGATTTTTTTGTTTAATTCTTTGACTGAAAAATATTTTAAAAAACCCTCAAATCTGCTTACTTGTGAGAAAATTTTGAAAGTGTGATTTTGAAAACACTGCATTAAAAAGAAGATAAAAGATACAAGGTATTCCAGATGAAGAAAGGGGCTTGGAGCTAGAAGGTCTATAGTTTAACCTCATGTTTGGGAACAGGGAAACTGACAGACTCGCCGTGCCCCTGAACAAGATGGGAATGGGCCTTGTCTCCATGCCACAGAAGGGGTGGGGCCTTGTGCAGAAGGCCCGGGTATAGGGATAGCCTCCTCCAGCTGGCCTTTCAGCACCACCTGTAGCATGCTTAGCAGGGCTCTAGCAGCTGCTGCTGCCACTGTAGCAGCAGCCTGGAACCCCAGGCTTTTTAAAGTTGCCGAGTCCCATTTGTTCTCTACCCCCTTACTACCGAGCCTGTTTAGGAATTAATGCCTTTTAGTATCATTCATTTACATAGAACTGTAAAGGGGAACATGCAGGTCTTCTGAGACAAGTATGAATTTACAAACTCTCCTGAGAGAATGTAAATAAGTAAAATTTTCTGTTGATAATAAAAAAGTATTATTACGTGTTTAATATATTTTTGTTTGACTTGCAGAGAGCTACTTGAGTGCTTTTTGGATGCTTCAAAAATGAAAGAAGCAGTGGATTTTTCATCCACAGCAGCAGCATTCATTAAAAATAATGTTCCAGATAAATACCAACACATATTTACTCTAATGGTAATTTACATTTCCCATTACACACTTTTTCCAAACATGTCTTGGGGAGCTGTAACATTTCCATGGTTTGCAACAGAACTGATATATCTGTGTGTGTGTGTGTGTGTGTGTGTGTGTGTGTGTGCGCGCACGTGTAAAATTAAGGATCAGAATTTGTTTTCTGAATTAGCAAAACACACTGTGAAATTAGAATTCTGCTTACATCATGAATAAAGGATTTCAGTACAAAACTGTAGTGTATAAATGTGACTTTGAAAGTGGCTTATCACAAAACAAAGCTCACAAAATATCCCAGAATGCAGTTTCTGGTAAATTTTATTACTGAATTTCTCTTTTCCGTTTATCAAAAATGTCAAAAGCTTGATTATAACTGAAATAACAACTAATTCAAGATAAAGCAACATAGAACTAATGTATGGCAAAGTGAAATATCAGCAATAAAAATAATTTGCATAATTATTCATTTTGATATTTAGGCACTGGAATAATATCAGTGGAGTTTTACACCAGATTATTAGTCATATAAACAATATCAAAGAGATAGCTACCGCTAATTATAAAATTTTAGGACATTCCATATTAATAACTTTGTAAGCATAACCTGGATTAATAAACTCTTCATCCAATTTGTTAAGTAGCTCAGTTTACAATTATTAGCTCATAAATAAGGTAACTTAAGTTAAAATATTTTAATATACAAAAGTCCTGTTTTAAAAGTCAAAAATTCTAGAGCAGCAAAGTACTTGAGAAATCAATGAAGATGAGTCTATAAGACAATTCTTTATTACGAATTTAATATTTCTCATTGTACACATTTTTCCAAACGTTTCTTGGGAAACTGTAACATTTCCATGGCTTGCAACAGAACTTATATTTGGCTAGGGGTTATTTGTGGGGTCACAAAAGTCTCTCTTATGGTGTCCATTAAAATCTATTTAAATTTGGCCAAGTCTCCATTTGTCAAAAATTGCCACTTGCAATCTGTGTTCTGCGTAACAGAGCTTACTAGAGACTTGTTGCTTAAATCATATGACATTACACCTGCCCAGAGTATGTTCCCCAGGATCTCACTTCAGTGTGCCATAGATGGATCTTCATCTTCAAAATATTCTTTGGCTTAGGACCAGGTGCACTGTATGTGAACCAGAAGTCTATGAGCTCTTAACTGATGTCCAAAAATTGATATTAATAATTGGAACCCCAAATCTTTAAAATAGCAGATCCAAATCTCATCCATTTAGGCACAAAAGCTCTCAGAAGGAATCTTCCAGATTCATGTTCTTGACTATCTGGTCTGTTTTATGGGTCTAGAAATGCATATGTAATCTTTAGAGGGTTGGCATGCTTCTTCTTCTCATAGCTATTATAGCTCAGCTGGGAGAGATCTATGCTGCCATTCTAAAGTTTATAGTCCTCATACTGATATATACATTGAATAGTGTTACAGCTACATGTAATAGAATTTGCTTTTTCTTTTTTTCTCCCTGAACTACTAGAGGTATCTCTAGACTACGGGCTTTTGTCAACAAAGGCATTGTTGACAGATACTGTCGAAAAAGCTTCTGTCGGCAAAGAGCATCTAGACTACATCCAGTTCTGTTGACAAAGCAAGCCGCTTTGTCGACATGAGAGTGTAGACGCAAAGGACAATGTAGATGCAATAACACCTTCTGTCGACAGAAGTCTGTCGACAAAAGGCATTATTCCTCGTAGAATGAGGTTTACCACCATCGACAAAACTGCTGAATTCTGTCAACATTATGTTGACAGAACTCAGCAGTAGTGTAGATGCAAGTATAGTTTTGTCGACCAAAGGCGTCTTTTGTCGACAAAACCCTGTAGTCTAGAGACACCCTAGGAGATTACCTACCAAAAACTGTGTGCGAGTGGGTTTGTAGCATTGGATGTTTGGCTTTGTGATCTTAATATTTTTATATTTTAATATATTAATATTGTATACATATTTGATCTGAAACCTGCTTTTCCTTCCTTTCATTTCCACTTCTATCAACGTAGGCCGGCTTTCATTTCTTGTACCTAGGAAGGCTTACTCCCTCACTCTCACCTACTATATCCCTTTCCGTTCCTTTTTCTCTCCCCCATGGTCAAGGGATGCAACCCCATCCTGTGGATCTCCTAACTCTCTGACTGCCAAGTGCTGAGACAGGTCAAGAGGGGAAGGATCAGCTGATAATTGCCCTGTTTTGCTCATTCCCTGTGAAAAATCTGGAATTAGCCACTGTTCCACTATTGGAAGACAGGATACTGGACTAAATGGATCATTGCCCTGACCCAGTATGGCTGTTCTTATGATCAGCAATTTTTCTCTCCTTTCCATGTGACCACTGTTCCAAAAGAGTGCTTTACTGATTGTCTGGTCTTTACTATCTGAATTGAGAGAGACTGTATGGGATACAGCTGTGATATTAATGTACAATATTACAGCTGTGATATTAATGAAGCGGTAAAATGGAGGCAAAGATGGGCAAGCAGTAAAATGGGAGGTTAGCTGGTTGATGACATTTTCAATAACATTACATGAGGAAAAATACTTTGCAGGAGCTAAACAGAATTCTTGAGGTGGAGAAGCATTGGGAAGGGATAATGAGATTGAAGGAAATTAATGCATAGATGGAAGAGCTTTTAAAATAACCAAGTGTATTGGGGTGAAGGGAAGCCAAGATTTACTCACAAATAGGAACGAGCAAAAGATGAGATGGTTGGGAGCACTGGGGTGTCAGGGTGAGGCATAGGCACTGACTGCATGGGTGCTCTGAGGTTCGAACACCTACAGGGAAAAATGTAGTGGGCTGGAGCACCCTCCGATGCCAGACTCCTTCATCTGCCCTTCTCCCCACCTCCTCGTGGCTCCACTGACCAACTCCTGCTCTTCCAGTGCTCTGGGAACACCATGAATAGCTGATTGGCGGCATTTAGGAAGCCAGTGCCTATAGTGGGAGATGTGAAAGAAGTTGAGGTCATATTTGTGGGCATGTGGAAGATGAGTACTACAGGCAGTAAGTCAGGATAAATCTGAACCAATCAGGTGAATTGGTGTGCTGTGGTTAATTATATACAGTTCTGTGACAGTCGTGGTAGAGTGTTATCAACAGTAATTTGAGGAAATTGTTTCAGAGTCACAGCTGTTAAATAAATGCTTTAGTTAGTACTTTAAATTAAATACTAATAGTATGGGTTTCACTTAATGGGCCAAATCCTCAGGTGGCATAAATTGGTATAGGCCTTATAGGTAAAATACTCTTGCCTGTTATTTAAAAGGTCAGGCCATTATCACAATGGTTTCTTCTAGCCTTAAAAGTCTATGAAAGGGAAAATGTAGTCTATGAACCTTTGTTATTTTACACCAGCTGAAGATCTGTTCCTATGTGGTTTATTAAAATGCTGAATTATTTTGTACAATTGTATAGGTACATCACAAACTAATGAATACTTCCCAGATAGAGGAAGACATACAAAGCTCCGTCAGTTTGTCAGTTATTTATAAAATTCAAACAATAAAATCGTAAGTATTGGAATCCATGTGTCTCCTTGAATTTTTATCTCTAATAATAAATATGTAAGGCCAGAACCTTGTTCTTGCTCTGGCAGCACAAAGCATCTTGTAAAGCCAGCTTAGCTGATTACTAGAGGAATCTTCTTGCCTAAAGAAATCCTAAAAATCTCAGTGATGTGGAAAAACCAGCTCTCTTCCAATACCATCCCTCTCAAGCCCTTATCAGAGGGGAAAGAGATGATATGGTCCATTAGGACAATGTGAGGTTTAGAGTGACCAGATAGCAAGTGTGAAAAATCAGGATGGGGGTAGGGAATAATAGTAGCCTTTGTAAGACAAAGTCCAAAATATCAGATCTCCCTATAAAATTTGGACAATCTGAGGCCCTAGAATTGAGAGAATTTAAAGATGTTTTAAAGCCATCATCACATAAATGCAGCTGAATACCCATTAGGACAATGTGAGGTTTAGAGTGACCAGATAGCAAGTGTGAAAAATCAGGATGGGGGTAGGGAATAATAGTAGCCTTTGTAAGACAAAGTCCAAAATATCAGATCTCCCTATAAAATTTGGACAATCTGAGGCCCTAGAATTGAGAGAATTTAAAGATGTTTTAAAGCCATCATCACATAAATGCAGCTGAATACTGTTCATAAATCTTAAATGAGAGAATTGAGGAGCTCACATTAAATGTAGGGGACATGTCATAAAAGGAGAAATTTTCGCCTGCAGCTTTTAAAAAATTTAAAAAAGGAGAACAAAGCATAGGCATCTGGACTTTGCTTTCTCTGGGTAACTGCCAAATACAACCTCCAAAAGTTAGTCACTTAAAGAGCCATTCATTTAAGGGAAAATTCTGTTCTTATGTGAATAGAGGTAATTCTGGAATAATTTTTGCTTATGTAAATAAGAGCAAAATTTGCCCATATGTTGTGTTTTATCCTCCATCTCTAACATTTCTCTCACTCTGAAATGTTATTCTTGCTTGGGATTCAAAACATTTTCCAGACTTTACTGGCTAGATTATTCAAGATATCCAAGCACATGCTGTTCATGTGGATATTTTCTTATATGGGGTGTTCTTCCTTGGAAATCCTTAGTTATTTTCTTCCCATGTTGCTGTTTACTTTCATTTTTAATAATTCAGTTACAGTGAGCAGCAGTACATCCTGCTAAATGATGAGGTAGAAACATTACTGTGGTTAGGAGAAATACAATATGCCTATAGAATCATAGAATCATAGAATCATAGGACTGGAAGGGACCTCGAGAGGTCATCGAGTCCAGCCCCCTGCCCTCAAGGCAGGATCAAGCTCCGTCTACACCATCCCTGACAGATGTCTATCTAACCTGTTCTTAAATATCTCCAGAGAGGGAGATTCCACCACCTCCCTTGGCAATTTATTCCAATATTTGACCACCCTGACAGTTAGGAATGTTTTCCTAATGTCCAATCTAAACCTCCCCTGCTGCACTTTAAGCCCATTACTCCATGTCCTGTCCTCAGAAACCAAGAGGAACAAATTTTCTCCTTCCTCCTTGTGACACCCTTTTAGATATTTGAAAACCACTATCATGTCCCCCCTTAATCTTCTTTTTTCCAAACTAAACAAGCCCAGTTCATGAAGCCTGGCTTCATAGGCTTCTCTAGACCTTTAATCATTCTTGTCACTCTTCTCTGTACCCTTTCCAATTTCTCCACATCTTTCTTGAAATGTGGCGCCCAGAACTGGACACAGTACTCCAGCTGAGGCCTAACTAGTGCAGAATAGAGCGGCAGAATGACTTCACGAGTTTTGCTTACAACACACCTGTTGATACAACCTAGAATCATATTTGCTTTTTTTGCAACAGCATCACACTGTTGACTCATATTCAACTTGTGGTCCACTATGACCCCTAGATCCCTTTCCGCCATGCTCCTTCCTAGACAGTCGCTTCCCATCTTGTATGTATGGAACTGATTGTTCCTTCCTAAGTGGAGCACTCTGCATTTCTCCTTATTAAACCTCATCCTGTTTACCTCTGACCATTTCTCTAACTTGCTAAGGTCATTTTGAATTATGTCCCTATCCTCCAAAGAAGTTGCAACCCCACCCAGTTTGGTATCATCTGCAAACTTAATAAGAGTACTCTCTATCCCAATATCTACATCATTGATGAAGATATTGAACAGTACGGGTCCCAAAACAGACCCTTGAGGAACTCCACTTGTTATCCCTTTCCAGCAGGATTTAGAACCGTTAACAACAACTCTCTGACTACGGTTATCCAGCCAATTATGCACCCACCTTATCGTGGCCCTATCTAAGTTATATTTGCCTAGTTTATCAATAAGAATATCATGCGAGACCGTATCAAATGCCTTACTAAAGTCTAGGTATATGACATCCACCGCTTCTCCCTTATCCACAAGGCTCGTTATCCTATCAAAGAAAGCTATCAGATTAGTTTGGCATGACTTGTTCTTCACAAACCCATGCTGGCTATTCCCTATCACTTTATTACCTATACATCAACCCCTTCTCAGAAGTGAGCCTCAGAGACTTGGTCAATTGTCTTGGGCTCACAAGACTTGCCCTGTGGGACTAAATTTATCAGTGTAGACATTCAGGCTTGGATTGAGGCCCAAACTTTGAGACCCAGTGAGAATGGAAGCCTGAAAGTCTACACTGATATATTTAGCTTTGCAGCATAAGCCACCTAAACCTGAGTCATTTAACCCAGGCTCCATTACTTGCTGTCTCAGGAGTTTGGTTTGTTTGTTTTTGTAGTCTAGACATACCCCTAGTGTTATAGAAGAATTTTTGAAATATTTATTTATCTGAATAAATAACTGTCTAATATACTTGCAGACAATTGGATACAAATGAATTTCCGATAGAAGCCACAACAAGTCTGAATACTGTGTTTGAACTTTTGAAACAGTATGGTGAGGATTCTTCAGTTTCAGTACTTGATGAAAAGTAAGTTTTATTAGTCATAGCCCTCTGAAAACACATGAAGAGATTGATTTTATTCCCATTGAAGTCCTTGACAGAACTTTTATTGATCTTTGTGAAATACTTCATCATCATTATTTACAGTGGCACTTAGATGTTTAACGGGGGGGATCAAGGTCCCATTGTGCAAATTAAACAGCCTTCTAGTATCAAATATATTCTCCCTGTGTAGGTAAGCTTCTCTTGTCTTTTGATAAAATAAATAAATTGAGCACATTTTAATACAATGTTCCAGACCCATATTATTCTGTAGCTCTTTTCTGAACATGATTTCTTGAAGTACAGACATCACATTGATGATACTACTACTGGAATAATGAGTCAATGTTCTATAGTGGTAATATAATCTCCTATTAATAGATCCAAGTATTATTTTAGCTATTTTAGCCATAATTTTCAGTGGAAGCTCATGCTCATTTGGTTATCTTTCAGTCCTCCTTTGGGTTTCTAGAGCACAATTTTCTAGCATACAGTCTCCTTCCTGTAAATAAAACTTTGGTTCATTATTTCAAAATGTATGACCTTGTGTTTGGCAGTAGTAAAATGCATGACTTTGATTACACCAAGTTTACCAGCTGACTTGGATCACTCAGTATCAATGATTTGATCTTATTATTTGCCACCTTGTCAGGCTTTGTGTTATCTACAAACTTGATCAGCAATTATTTTATATTTTCCTCTAGATTAGTGGGGGTGATGAGGAGTAGTGTTGAGTTGGAAACCAATCCCTGCAAGATCCCATTAAACATTCTCAATTTCCCATAAGCAATTACATTTTAGTATTGATCAGTTAGCCTGCTTTTAATTAATTTACTATTTTCTGTATTGATTATGTATAGTCCTCGTAGTAAATTGCAATGCCCTGCAGTATTAATTTAGATACATTTGAGAAATCTAAGTGGGATTTATCACCTTAATCAAGCAATTATATCAAATTAATTGGATGAGACAAATGACCTTTTAATGACTTTATTATTTTTGCAGAATTCCTTTGCTTTTAGAATTGGCTCGTCTTTCTTTGAAGTTAAACTGTACCCAACTTGCATTTGATTGCATACATGATTTAAAGAGAGCTGGGATTGAAGTAAGTGTTAGGATTACACTATTACAATACTTTTATTTCACTGTGCTTCAAAATAATTATGCATGCATCAAGACCTATTCCCACATTTAGGTACTGATATAGTTAACCTTCATTAATATGAC